TTTAATTATTTTGAATAATTAAAAAAAATATAGATAGCTATTTTTAAAAATAATTATTTACATTATTTAATGAGATAATTGTAATAGTTGTCTTTTTTAATGAATTAATTTCTTTTTTTAAAACTGCAGGGAGCATTCTCTCAAAAGTAATGGATGAAGATGCCCTCAAAATTCCTGAAGAACAGGAACAAGTTCTTTCACGTTTGGAGGAGAAATTTCCAGAACTTTTACCCCGAAAAGACATTATCACCTTCCTTCAGGAGGCTCAGTTGCATGCTGATGGTACAGCATTATTTTAATTTTTCCCTTTTATCTTTATTTGAGCTGTCTGATACTTTCTCATTAAATGTCTGCTGGACTTTTACATTTATTGGAATAGTGAGTGGTAACTGCTGATTTAGTTCCTAGTCTGAATTTTGGCTATAATCTAGACAACATGAGACATGGGATATATCTCCATATATTTGGCTTATTTTCCTCTATGTTGGCTCAGGACCAGTCATTCAGAACTGTTCATTTATTACATCAAAATGTTGCTACTATACATGGGGTAGAAGATAGTTGGAAAAATATCTGGAGGGTGGTATGTCTAGATATAAGTCATATATTTAATATATTGGAAGCCAGGTCCACAAAGTCCTGAAGTGCAGACATACCATGGACTCCATCTTCTCTGTCCCCCAGTGCTAATGCAGCTCTCTCTGCAGTGGGTTGCTATTCACTGGATCTGTATATGAAAACATATTTAAGTAACACACCAAACAACAAATATGATCTGACTACAGAGAAAATGTGAGATTCCTGTAAAGCCACTGCCTTTCTCTTTTTCCTCTGTCTCATAATCTTTATATTACAGAAATTGTTCTTGATCAGAAAGGAACTATATTCCAACAGGTTCTTATTATGTTTGCATTGATAAATACTTTTGGTCAACCAGTTTTATCTAAGCACTGATCAAGTATAGATGAATCTTATTGATATCAAAGGGCTTTTGAATTATCATGTTTCCCTGGAACAAAAGTAGGGATTTCTCTCTCTCTCTCTTGTGCATGTGCGTGTACACACACAGAAACATACACTTAGGAGAAATGATTTTAAGCAAAAATGAATAATTTTCTATCTGTTCCACAGAGCTGAGGATTGAAGAAGCTTTGGTCAAGGATCTCAAAGAAGTGTCAGATGGAGAAATAAAAGTAGCAGTTAGTACCATATATATCAATTTAGAGGTAAGGAGAAAGCAAACTGGGGGCAGGGGTTTAAAGTTACTTGAAAAGTAGTTTCTTATTCTTTTTTTTCATTGCTATATGGATTTTTAAAACTGTTGATGGATTTCTTTTTACTTAATTTGTGTTGCTAATATTCTAGAATAGCTTTTTCCAGTTTGTACATTTGAAATATATTGGACTACAACTCTCAGAATCTCCAGACAACATGAGGCCTGAATCATTGTATCTATAGTTGTCAAGACTGTAGATTGCAGAAAGCCCTTTAGGGCCTAGTAGGTACATTTCCTAACTAAATCCATAGAGGGTGGCTTGTGGCTAGCATTTATCATTACTATTTTTTCTATTGTGTATGTCTGTATACATATAAAGAGATAGTAATGAGGGAATGGCAACCCAGCGCTAATCTTACAAAGAGTCATGTATATGCTTCCATGCAAAAAGTCCCAGATTAACCTCTATCATCTCCAATTAAAGTTTTGAAAGTAACAAGGATCAGGAAAATTAATCCTGACATTTCAGAACCAACGGCATTGGCAAAGCAAGATTTTAATATCATAATATACAGTTGCTCAGATCTGTAGTCTGTCCATCCTTATCTATGGTTGCAAAGGTTGAAGGATTATAGTAATAGTACAACTGCCATTATACAAAGATAATTCTTCAGTTACTTGGGAGCACCTTCTATAAGGCAGCCAAGCAGAGAAAGGCATGGGTATCAATGAGCCTCCTTTGCCAATGTAGTCATAATGTGCTTGCTTATGAAATCACTGTGGAAGCATGAATAAAGTATTGTTTGAAAAAAAAATAGGATTATGCATTCACCCAAATAACATAATGTTTTCATCTTTTCTAATTTTCCCATTAAGGAAATGCATGATATCAGTGATTTATTAGTTTTGCATACATATTTATCATTATGGCATTTGGTATATAGTAAGAGATATGCACCACATACTGTGATTGGCATATTTATTTCTTAGGCATTTAAAATTATTTGTTATTGGGCATGTTGCTAAGTATTATAGATTGCACTGCAGTATTGATATCTGCCATTCTGCTTGGTTTTAAGTATCTTTTTGGGACAAGTGTAAACATTACAAAATATAAACTTGTCAAATATTGTATGTCTGTTTAATGTTGATGTGATGCTCTGAAAAGTAGAAGTAAAAAGAGGAATGAAATGAAAACTATAGTGTAGTTTTCTTGGGAAATTTCTCCCCAGTGGATGTCAAAATACTGTTCTCTGTCTTGCCCTTTTATCTTTTTTGCCCTGAGAATATATTTTTCTTGTTCTCTCCTGGGCTTCTCTTCAAAATGAGAGCTATTTTATTCAAGTGACTTTAGAGGAAAGTTGGTTTTCCTAGAAATAAAATTCATAATATTTCCTCAGGCAATTAGAATTACCTTTCTATTTTTGCAAAATCTCTTTCTCATATATATATACACCAATCAAGGTTTTAATGAAAATCTGTTCACTAGGAGTTTATGAATGAATGCCTTATTTGCATATTGGTAAAAGTAAAAGTTTATCCATCACTCAGTTTTTTATTCTCAGTAATTATTTACTTGGTAGAAATTCTTATAAATGCTTGTTATACAGTATATTTTTGACAGAGCTGATAGTTACAGAAAATCTATAAACTATATGGCTGAGTTCATATGTCATGCTAATGTGGCAGAAGTGATGCTGTGGAGCTGCCTTATTAGTATACATCTGGTAACATCTGGTAACTGAGTGGCAGCAATTTTTTAAGAGTGCCCATAACATGTTTTCAGACTTCTAAATGTGCCCATCAGTTCCACATGGTTAGGGATCATGCCGAAGCTGCAATTTGGTTTGACTTTATGTGTTCTGTCCACCCAGCCATTGTGGCATGTAAACTATGGTTTATGACTTAGAATTTGTGAACCCAGCCAATCTCTTGTGAGATTTAGCATGCAGGGAACATATTATGTGAGCAGGAACATTCTGGTCTATATACTTATTGATTTATACTCATAACAATGTGTTTTTCCTATAAAGTTTTTCCTGTAAAGTAGCAAGGGCAGATAAGAGTCCATTCAGGGAAAGCCAGTCCTGGCTTTTCACAACTATAAATTCCTGGATTGAGATCTTATGGATCAAAGTGGATCTGCATAGAAAAATGAATTCATTTAGCAGTGATGAGTATAAATTTCATTACTATGAATTTATTTATTATGCAGACTTCACTGAAAAGAAATATATGTTTCTTATTGTTGACTTCCAGTATTCTCCTAAGAGATACTGTTGGGATGTACTGACAAATTTTAAGTCATGTTACTATATTCTAAAGGCCTTGGCCCATTAATAAATTAAAGGGATGCCCATCTAACCTCAAGTTGGCACAATGTTTACAGCATAAAATTTGCTGTCCTCATTGCTGGCCTGTATCTTACTTGTATTATTTATGTATTTATTTTATTTTTGTCCTGCCATATTCAGCAAGGATACATGGCAGTTAATGGTTAAAAACAAAT